ATGCAATGTCTGCATTACAGGCTGTGGCTTTTCCTGCTGTACCACAATACCAGCCCCCATGTAAGTGTCATTAAACAGAGAGTGCGAGTCCGAATTTATTCCAACCCTGCTTTCCCCCTGTGGTTTGGTGATGTTACCCTCTATTATATCCCAGGTTCTCATGCATACACTGATCTGTTTCTGAGTTTGTCTACACACTGGCCTCTTTGTCTACACTGGCAGTGATACCACACCATTTAGATTACTATTAGCTGTTGGCTGTGTCTTGATATCTGGTAGGCCCAAAATATCTTCTTTGTTCATTTTCAAAATTGTCTTGGCTACTTAGGTAGAGATTTTTAGGAGGAAAAAGTTGTGTCTTCTACAGACATTTGGCCCAGTGTGGGAGGGTGAAAGGTCAGAGGTGGGAGTAGACAGGCTGTTCTTTTCAGAGAAAACAGACAGTGTGGTCCAACCATACAGGCAGGCAGATCTTACTAGAATATAACTCTGTAGGCCAGGGATTCTTTAAGATTTATTTACTTACCTTAAGGTCAGAGGAAAAGGGGGTGGGGGGTACAGAGAGATCTTCCATCTGTTATTTACTCCCCAAATGCTCAGCCTGGTTGGGCCAGGCTGATACCAGGAGCCGGGAACTCCATCCTGGTCTCCAACGTGAGTGCACGGGCCTGAGCGCTTGGGCCATCCTCTGCTGCCTTCCCAGGTGCATTAGCAGGGAGCTGGATCAGAAGCAGAGCAGCTGGAACTTAAACAGGCAAGACGTCAGCCCGGAGGCCGGGATTCTCAGCTGACTGCCTGTGTTAAACTTCACAGTGCATCTGGAGCAGGAGAGTGAGTGCCATACTCAAAGCCGTTCCAAATACATGTCTTTGAAGGCAGTGTAACAAACGTAATGAGAGCAAGACTGGAATGGGAGCAGGGGGTTAGCCTCGTGATGGGGGCTCCCGTTGAGTATCAGGTGACGTGGGTTTCACACTTGGCTCTGCTCATGAAAGCATCTTCCTACTAATGAACACCCTGGGAGGCAGCAGTGACAGCTCCGATAATTAGGTTCCTGCTACTCATGTAGCTTCTGGCCTTCTGGCAGTGTACCAGCCACTGCAGCCATCTGGGGAGTGACACAGCAGATGTGAGCTCTCTGTCAATAGAAAAAAAAAAAGAGAGAAAGAAAACTGGAACCAAGACCATGAAAAGACTTCTGCAAGAAATGACATAGATTAAAAGTAAGTAGATGTTTCAGTGATAAAAAGACAATTACTTGTGGGAGCAGAGTGCAGGTAATAATCTAGTCAAATTCCCCTGTTTCTGACTTGAGTGGTAAGGTGGATGACAGTTCCATGAACTAAATTACGAGGAAAATGCAAGGCAATGCCGAAGAGAAGACATGCTGTCAGGCACGGAAATTTCAAGTTAGGACTGCAGGATACCCAAGTGGGTATATCAAGCAAGTGGATCTATCAGAAGCTCAAGGGTAAACCTCGGAGAAACAGACTTGGCAGGCAGCTGGATCAGAAGCATGTGGGTGGAGGGACCCAAGCACCTGGGCCAGCCTCCCCTGCCTTCCCAGGTGTAGCAGGGAGCTGGATTGGAAATGGAGCACCAGGGACTCCAAGTGGTGCTCATGTGGGATGCAGTGTCACAGGCAGCAACTTTAACCTACTGTGCCACAATGCCAACCCAAGCTGTTTAAGATTTCTTTGAAAGGCAGTTACAGAGGGAGCAAGGAAAGAGGCCTTTCATCTACTGATTCACTCCCCAAATGGCCCCAGCAGCCAGGGCTGGGCCAAGCTAAAGCCAGGAGCTTCTTCTGGGTTTTCCACAAGAGTATAGGGGCCTAAGCACTTGGGCCATCCTCTGCTGTTTTCCTAAGCTCATTAGCAGGGAGCTGGATCAGAGGTGGAGCAGCCGGGACTTGCACTGGTGCCCATAAAGGATGCCAGTGGCAGCTTTATCCAATATGCCAGCTCCCCCCCTTTTAATGTTTACTTATTTTTAGTTACTTGAAAGGTAGTGTGACAGAGAGGGAGAGGCAGAAACAGCTGATCTTTCATCTATTGGCTGACTCTTCAAATACCCCCAACAGCCAGGGCTGGGCCAGCCTAAAGCCAAGAGCCCCAAACTTGATCCAGGTCTCCTCTGTGGGTAGCAGGAGCCCAAGTACTTGGGCTGTCATCTGCTACACTGCCTGATGCATTAGCAGGAAGCTGGATCAAAGCATGCAAAAGAGCTAAAGACAAAAACTAAAGAACAAGGTGTGGGGGGCCAGCGCTGTGGCCTGTGGCACTGGCATCCCACACAGGCACCAGTTTGTGTCTCAGCTTTCCTCTTCCTATTCCTGATCCAGCTCTCTGCTATGGTCTGAGAAAGGAGTGGAGGATGGCTAAATGCTTGGGCCCCTGCACTGGTGTGGGAGACCTGGAAGCAGCTCCTAGCTCCTGGCTCCTGATCAGCCCAGCTCTCTGGCGGTTGCAGCCATTGGGGAGTGAGCCAGCAAGTGGAAGATTTTTATCTTCTGCTGTTCAAATAAATACATCTTTTTTTTTATCTTTTTTTTTGGACAGGCAGAGTGGACAGTGAGAGAGAGAGAGAGAAAGGTCTTCCTTTGCCATTGGGTCACCCCCCAATGGCCACTGCAGCTGGCGCGCTGCGGCTGGCGCACCGCACTGATCCGAAGCCAGGAGCCAGATGTTTCTCCTGGTCTCCCATGTGGGTGCAGGGCCCAAGGACCTGGGCCATCTTCCACTGCACTCCCGAGCCACAGCAGAGAGCTGGCCTGGAAGAGGGGCAACCAGGACAGAATCTGGCGCCCTGACCGGGATTAGAACCTGGGGTGCCGGTGCCGCAGGCGGAGGATTAGCCTAGTGAGCCACAGCACCGGCCATAAATACATCTTACACACACACACACACACACCAAGGTATGGAGTTGATCAGGCTAAAGCTGAAGGCAGAACCCGCAGTTTCAGGGTATCAGCTACGGACAGAGGCGGGACAAAGAAGCAGCTGACGCAGAGGGAACTGAACCACTGGGAGAAGACACTGGGAATCAGAAGAGCTGAAGTCTCAAAGTTCTGAAACAGTACAAACGGGATTAGTTTTTGGAAAATGGAATTAAATGAGCCTGAGGTAGGTGTGTGGCCCAGCAGTTACAACCCGGGTTAGGAGCTCTGGGATCTCAGGTCTGCACTGGGCCCAGCACGCTGAGCGGTCACTTGCCACGCTGGCCCACCCTGTGGGAGTGCAGGCTGCTCGGGCTCCTCATTCCAGCTCCCTGCTAATGTGCACCCTTGGGAGGCAGCATCGATGGCTCAAGTGCTTGGGTCCCTTGCTGCCCACATGGGAGACCCGGATTGAATTCCAGTTTCCAGTTTTGGCAATAGTTGGATGTGCTGTTGCATGTCCTTGGGGGAGTGAACCAGCTCTACTTTTCAAATAAAAACTAACAAGTTTAGAAATTCATGTACAGCTTTTTCATCCCAGGCATTTTCCACATAAGAATACAAAGACACCTTTAAGTGCATTTTTGCATGAAATTTCTGAAGTATCCTTGTACTTCCTACAAAATCACTCTATTACTGAATAGTGGAGTCACTATTGGAAGGTGGCACTGGGGATGTGGGAGAACGGTGACCCTGCCCTACAGCAAGTGAGAAAGGAGAGGTGGCAGTATTCTCAGTCAACAACAGGAGAGGGAGTAGAGGGGTCAAGGATATGGGGAAGTTGGTCTTTCTAATCATGGAACAGGTTTCCGAACACGCACAGGAGTGCCTGGGAGAGAACAGGGATTCAAGGGAGCCGCCATTGTGAAAAATCACCAAGAATATGAACCAAGCGGCTTTACAGCCCCAAGTGGAATGGTGGGTGGCAAGAGCATCTCTGTTTATAGTAAATTTTTCTTTTTTTCCAAATATTTATTTGCAAAGTCAGAGTTACAGAGATCTTCCAACCACTGGTTCCCGACCCAGACGGCAGCAACGGCCAAGCGCTGGGCCAGACTGAAGCCGGGAGCCAGGAGTGCTGGTGGCAGGGGCTCAAACACTTGGGCCATCTTCCGTTGCTTTTCCCAGGCCATTAGCAGGGAGCTGGATTGGAAGCAGAGCAGCCGGGACATGAGGCGGCGCCCATTTGGAATGCTGGTGTCACAGACGGTGGTGTTAACTGCTATGCTACAACACCGGCCACTATAGTGAGGTTTTATTGAACACACTGTGTGTTCTTTCAAATTCTCTGCATATACCTGCAGTAAGACCTACAGGCGGATTCCCTGTGTGGTAGCACAGTGAGATATCAACCCTTATGCTAAGACCACCCCCAGTGGGCTTAAGGGGGTGAACTACTTTACCATACACACTGCCCTAGAGCCCTCCCTTTCAGGAACTGCCCCTCCACTTCCTACAGCTTCCTCAGGGCTGTCCAACAAGGCTTCTGCCTTCCTTGACAAGTGTCTGTGTGGCCCCCCGCCCCCAGCAGAGGACCCCACTCTCTAGCCACAGCAACTGGGCCAGGCACAGTCACTGCCGGAAGAAGAGCTTTGCAGTTTTTCCTTCTCGGGGGATTTAGACAAACGCTGGGCAGTCTCTTCTCTGAGATCAAGAGAAGCTGATGTCCCTCCTGGTGTATCCATCTCAACTTCGTGGGCACTTAAAAGCTCAACAGAGGCTACCCTGGTTTGTGACTAGAAACTGGCAGAACGGCGCCAAGACAGGGGCCCGCACTGCAGTCAAGCGCTGCCAGCACTGCCAGCATCCCGTGTGAGAGCACCAGTTTGAGACTTGGCTGCTCCACTTCCGACCCAGCTCCCTGTCAATGTGCCTGGGAAGGCAGCAGAGGATGGCCCAAGTGCTTGGCCCTGCCACCCATGTAAGACCTGAATGGGATTTCCAGGTTCCCAGCTTTGGCTTGGTCCAGCCTCATCCATTGTGGCTACTTGGGGAGTGAACCAGCATATGGACGGTCTCCCTCTCTCTAATTGCTTTAAAAGAAAAAAAAAAAAGACACAACCACGACCAACCATTTAATGTCTGCAAGTGTACTTCACCCTCACAGCTCCCACAGGCCTGGTGAAACCGGCACAAGCGAGCAGTTCCAAAGAAAGCACAGCTCCTCCTTCTAGCCCGAGTGGAAAACCAAGCAGGCCATGGGTCTCTCGATCTGGCGATGCCTGCAAGGGAGGTCTTCCCACAGCACACCTCAGGCCTGCCTGCTCGGGAGACGGGCCCGCAGCTCTACAGGGCTCCCGAGGGCTTCTGTTCTTCCGCAGCCCGGCGCCGCAGGCTGCGCAGCTGCAGGTAGTGGTAGGCCCGGACGCTGCAGAGGTAGCCCCCGTACACAGTGAGCAGCATCATGGAGACGGAGAAGGTCTTGTAGCCAATGTCAGCCAGCTGCTTGGCGCTCGGCATGTCGGCCCCTGCACACACACACCGGGTTTAGTACTGAGGAAGAGGCCTTCGCTGCCCAGCCCCGCCCAGCCCCCTGTTTGAGGCCATCCCCCAACTCCTGCACCCTGGCGGTCTGTCTGCACTCCCACATGACGGCCCCTGCCTGAGGACAGTCTTGTAAAAGGGCCCCAGAAGACAGAGTCTGGGAACTACACAAATTCAGACGGAGATGAAACCTGTGTACAGGACCCGGACACCAGGCTGCACCCACATGCACCTGGGATATTAGCTCGAGGACACCTGGCCTGCCGGGTCTGCGGAGAGATGCAACGCACAGGCCACCAGGGCTGTTCTTAACTGCTACACTGCTTTAAGCATGCATCTGTTTTTTCCCCTTATAGAGAACTAGTAGTGATGGCCAGGGATTAAAAACATTTGCAGGGGCTGGCACTGTGGCACAGTGGGTAAAGCCACCGCCTGCAGCGCCAGCATCCCATATGGGCGCCGGTTCGAGTTCGGCTGCTCCACTTCTGATCCGGCTCTCTGCTGTGGCCTGGGAAAGCAGTGGAAGATGGCCCAAGTCCTTGGGCCCCTGCACCCACGTGGGAGACCCAGAAGAACCCCCTAGCTCTTAGCTTCAGATCGGCCCAACTCCAGCTGTTGCGGCCATTTGGAGAGTGAACCAGAGGACAGAAGATTTCTCTCTCTGCCTCTGCCTCTCTGTAGCTCTGCCTTTCAAATACATAAATCTTTAAAAAAATAAAATTAAAAAAAAACCATTTGCAGTCCATTATTCTAAAAGGAACAAATAAGAGCCTTTCAGTCAAATCTCAATTTGTCCTCCCATCAGAACAATCTTATTCACAGGGGTTAGGTTTCCAAGTTAGCCTTAAAGTAGGTTCAAGCCACAACACAAAAACAGTACCCATGACACTTCTCTATTATTTCAATTATACTTCACCTTCTATAGCATTCATTCCAAGTTCCAAACTCAACACTAAAAACCCTATCCCAAGGGTACAAAGAGACATGGGGTCCCCAGCTAAGCGTTACATCAGAATTGCATGGAGTAAGTTACTTCTAATTTAACTGTTCCCTAGATATTCTGAGTTAGGGAATGTGTTCCTAGGTTCCTGTCTATTGAGGGAATTGAAACCTAAAAACCTGACTGACGTTAGTGAGAATGAGTTTCTTAGAAGTAAAAAATTTGGAAGCAGCTCAGAACTACCCCCTTTAGGGGGTCGCAGGTAGGGGAGAGATAAGCTTCTCAAGAGAGAACCCCAAGAGCTGAGCACCGCTTTGTGAGGGTGGGGACAGCGTAGACTCCACACTGAGCTGAGGCACAGTTTCTTTGAATCATATTCCTGCCATGGAAAGCGACCTCACACAAGGTCAGATGAAGAAAACCCAGTGATGAGAACGGGCTGTATTCAGGTGCCCCGAGGTGTGGACGAGCCCAGGTTGTGTGAGACAGTGAAGAAGGCAAGCCTAGAGAAGACACAACTGTGGCAAACCTGCAGCCTGCGACCTCCCCTCATTTACTCTTTCTCCTCTCATCCCCCTTCCCCTGGCTAACTGCTACCCAGTTACAGGACCACCTCTCGGAGGGGCTGGAACATTCACCAGGCAACAAAGAAACCGGACGGTGCAGCTGACAGAGCCAACAGTGGGACCAAGAACCTCACTCTTCTCCTGTCTAACCCATCCCGAGGTTTCTATTTTCACATTAGCAAGGACTCTTCACGCATCCTGATAAGGGGTACTGGAAACAACACACGTATACACTGTGGTGGAAGTTAAAACAAGATTAATCAACTGAATGGATTAGGAATGGGCAAAGCTGACACTTCTGATCTAGCAATTAAAATGCCTGCATCCCCCTTTGCAGTACTTGGGTTCAATACCCGCCTCCAGCTCCTCATTCCAGCTTCCTAACAACACAGACCCGGAGCCAGCAGTGCTAACTCAAACCTATGGGGTTCCTGCCTCCCACGTGGAAGACTCGCACTGAGTTAACCCTGGCTCCTGGCCGCAGCCGGGCCCTCGGGGACTGATCTGGAGGTAGCAGCATGCTGGCTCGCTCACTCTCTCAAATTAAAAACTCCCACAACAAAAAATAGGCACCTCAGAGTCAGGAAACTGGATTAGGATACTGTTAAAAGAAGCAGGCAAGAAGAGAAGTGGAATGTGTCAGTGCGCGGGGTGGGGTGACGACCGTGTCGGTAGAGGCCACCAGCCCGGTTCAGAACTTGTTCAAGATGCTCAATGCCAGCTGCTGTCCATCGGGCAGATGGAAGCCCAAATCTGGACAAGCCGCTGGGAGAGAGGTTCGGCTTCAACACAGAGGACAAGACCGGTCAGAGAGGCCAAGGGAGCAAGTCTGAAGAAACAATTAGGGAAAGGCGGCAGGTAGGCAATTCCAGAAACATCCGGGGTGGGGCGGGGGAGGGGGCGCTTTTCATTTAGCTACACCCGCTTCCTGACTGAAAAGATCACTGTTGTATTCAGTTACGGCGCTGACGGCGGTGTGCAAAGTTCGGTGTTGTAGAGACTGGTCAGATGGGATCGGCGGGCGGTGCCGATGCCAGGGACAAGCCCAGGGTGGGAAGACAATTTAGTGCGCCGGCAGAGCCCAATCAGCACAGATCCAGTGGGTCTACGACCCCTCAGAAGTTCATCCGCGTCTAGCACTTTTCCAGGAAAAGATGGAATTAGGATCCTAGTAGGATCAACCTTGGAAACAAGGGCAGCTTTTGAGGTGAGCAGAAGACTTGTGGGCGGCCCGCGGCGGCGGAGGGGGCGGAGGCACCCGGGAGCTCGCGGACAGGCTGGGGCGGCTTTAGAAGGGCGAGCGGTGCGGACACCCGCAGAGGCGCGGAGGGAGCTAGAGTGGGAAGCAGCGGACAGGTGGAGCCCGACGGCACAGGCAGGAAGGGTGGCCGGGAAGCCAGCCTCCAAGCCCGCCCCACCGGCCCAAGCGCGCTCGGCCCTCGCGACGGCGTACCTGCGAGCGACGGCTTCCTCGCGCCCCGCCGCCACTTCCGAGCGCGCCGGAACTCAGCACACGGACCCAGACAAGGAAGGACCGGGAGCCCCCGGAACGCCGCAGCTATTGGTGCGAAAGGCGACCCTTTCTCCCGCCCACCCGCCCGGCGTGGCCTCTAGGATTCGGCTCCCGACGTGAGAGACAAGAACGTGCGCCCCGCAGGCCAAGACTCCGCCCACTAGGGGCGGGAGCCCGCCGGCTCGCCTCCGAACTTCCGACTTCCTTGTCAGTCACTCTTACGACGCAGCCTCAACCCAGTCTTCCTGTTGGAGGGACCCGTTGAATCCTGGGGATTGTGGTTCTGCTCCATCGCGAGAGGCTCTCTGGTGGTGATTCTAGTTAGCATGCTCAGTGAGAGCCAGCCAATCCCCAGCCCAAGGTCTGGTGACGTCTCGGGTCGCTAGGTAGATTCTATCGGGCCCAGAGCCGGGAGCGCGCGCCCCCTAGAGCCTGGAGCGGCCCTCTCCCGAGGGCGGAGCTCAGGTAGGGCCCCGGCTGGCACCGCAAAGCCTAGACGGCCGAGGATGCGGCAGGTTGGGCCGTGATCTCGGGTCCCGGGCTGGGTGCCCGCTTTCTGAACGGCGCAGAGGTGGAGGGTACTATTGGTACAGCTGCTCCGGGGCCGGGAGCGGCTGCGATTCCGGAGCAGGGACTCCTTTTTTCACTTTTCCTACCGTGAGAGTGACAACATGCATGCAGTGATACCCCCACGGGCACACACTGCGCCCCGTGCCAGGAGCCACCCGCCCCCCCCCGGTCCCCGACAGCCTAAGTATTTGCTTTTATAAATAGAGGTATGTTTGCGGGATTGTTTCCTTAACTAAGATAGGGGAATATTTTATCTTGCACCATGCTATTCTGAATAACGTGTTAAGGAGATAGGAGGAAATGAGATTGGCGGGCCCTCGTACATATAATGCCAGATTTTGTTGACGTTGGTTTTATTGCTATCATCTGAGCCTGTCTAAATTTCCTTCTGCATTGGATCATACGAGTTTCCATAAGACTTTCTCTATAGTTGTAATCACATCTTCGTAACTGCTTTACATATGCGCTGGAGCGATTATTCACTACTTGAAATGGTATGGTAGTATATGACCTCTATAGTGGGTATAAAAGGTCTGTCATGGCAAACGCCCGTTTTTGAAGGTAACTTGACCAAAACACTTGTAAAACTTTCTTAAAGTGCGCGTTTACATTAAATATTGAGTAGTTGGTTACGGGGGCCTCCACGTGGAATGTTTCTCAGGACATGGTAGACCCATTGCGGTTCTCCAAATACAACACCGAAAAAGTGCAATATTACACCTTTCTATGA